AGATCTATAGTGGTACTCTGATCGTCAAAAGCAAACCTGGTGTAGCAGCAAACAGCGCCGCTAATTTGTTTCTTCTCCCCCTAAAATCTCCACGGACGGACCCACAAACAATGCATCTCGACGTCTGAGCAGCCTAGTTATACCATTACGTGAATCTCCTTAGCGTTCACGTGGTCCAGTGACTAGGAAGAAAAAAAGTAAAAGCCAAAGGAAACTTTCCAAATAATTGTCCTTCTTGCTTCTCTTGAAGCACAACATTCAGCGGGGCAAGCTGTTTGAATGTATTTTCAGCACCTTAGTCCCTAATAGAAAGCAGGTCAATAAAGCTTATAAAACAGTGGAATTCTCGACAGTCTCGGAATGACCCCAGAACTGGTCAAGATCTTCATCAGCACTCCAAAAGACCACTTGCCAAGTATCGTCGCATTCCGACATGTCTAAGGTAGTGAACACAAAAAGAACAGTTTTTGAAAAAATGGCCTCTAGCACCCTGAAATGGATCCTACAAGTAGAACTACATTTTCGATGTCTAAAATCACTATGGGATCACCACCATTGGATCCAGCACGGTCGAAAACCCCTATGGGTTAAGTTTCGGCTTAATTAGACACTCCAAGACAAAGATATGAGCAAAACATTGAAACAAGAGGGGCTGCACACTATTCCCGTGTGGCCTCACTGCACAAAAAACCATTAAAGGTGGCTGTTTTTACAATCACGGGCAGTCACTTTTGGAGCCCATATCTCACTCGTCCCAAGTTAGATCGCACTCAAATTTTGTGAGTGTGTTCATCTTGTTAAGACGAGCGGTTCGATATGTGGTACGCCCCGTGACGATGTCTGAATAGGGAGAAAAGCTAGAGAGAAGTTGCCGATCCGTGAAGAAATTGCAGAAAATTCAGCAGCAACACGCCTTGCTCAATGGACCAAATCACGACGCTCGCGCAACGGATCAATGCGAAACCAATTCCATTGTGTGCGTAAGGTCTAGGGCTATCATTGGTCCGAATCCCGTACATGATGGACGATCAGATTTCATGCACAAAGCCGACAAAGTAACTAAAATTCCGGCCGCCAGATTTCAAATTCCAGCCAAAACTCAAAAGTTGCAAAATCTTCGTTTGGGCTTCAAATCGCGTTCCGTTTGTTGCCACGTGATCATGACGGAATGCTTAGTGCGCTACGACGAAAAAATGATAGAAAAACATTAAGGAAAGAGCGTATCATCGATCCAAAGCTTTCAAGATTCAAGCAAATTTCAAGTCTCGTGATCGTAGTTCGAAACACGGTCCATGACTCGAAATTGGTATCAAATCGATTGCCATACCGAGCCTTACAAGAAAATATTCATCTTCTGATCAAACGGGCATCAGAACAACCCCGGATCAATCATGGAAGAGCGCACAAGTTTTTGGGCAACAGCAGGGACTGTTCTGGAATTTCATATATTGTTAAGCAGAGGCAAAACAGTCCTTTTGCACCCTATTTTCTTAATTTTTTTTAATTCAGAATAATTGTAATTATCGTCAGTTAGGGTTACTTTTGGGTATCCACCCACGTTTTAGCTTAATTCTATATAAATACCACACGCCAGTGTTTTAAAAATTGGCGAGTCAAACCGGACTCGCCCGGTTCGACTCGGGAACCGGCACAGCCAGTGCCGGTTCCAATACAAAACCAAGAACCGCCCGGTTCTAGAGAAGAACCGCCGGTTCCAATCCGGTTCAACTCGGTTCCCTCCTTGCACGCATGCGACACACACGAGTCAAACTGGACTCGCCCGGTTCGACTCGGGAACCGGCACAGCCCGTGCCGGTTTCGATACAAAATTGAGAACCGCAGGATTCTAGAGAAGAACCGTCGGTTCCAATCCGATTCTATCCGGTTCTAACAGGTTTAGCCCGGTTCCCTCCCTGCACGCATGCGACACGCACGTGCACGCGTCGCACGTCGCACGTCCCACATCGCAACGCGTACGACAAGCACGTGCACGCGTGCGACACGCACGTGCACGCGTGCGACACGTGTGAGGTTACCCTAATATTTCTACACAAACATTTTAATCTATATTACATAGGTATTTATATACCAATGTGGATACCCATCTTTCGATGTGGGATAATTCCCAAATATCATTAAATGAAAAGGAAATTTAAATATATTCTATTAATCATCAAGTTATAATCACGTATGGTGAGGTGGCGTGGTGGTTAAGACCTTTGCTTCTTCATGTGATGTCTTAAGGTCGAGTCCCCCCGTGGGCGTTATTTTTTTATGTTGTATAGTTTTTGTTGTATATATTGTATAAATATTTTTGTAAATAATATAAAAAGCATAAAAAAATAAAAAATAAAAAAGTTAATTTTTTGTATGGCAGTTAATTTTTGTTCTATATAGTGGTATAATTATTTTTTAAAATAATATGAAAGGCATAAAAAAATAAAACATAAAAATTTTATTCTATTTGAAATCTCCATCTTTCTACTAACAATCTCTTTCACTAAATTTATTATAGAAACCTAAAAAAATAAATTTTTGAAAAACTGAAGTGTTATTTCCAAAATTTGTACGCAGTTTATTAATTTTTACATTGATAACCAAATCTTTTACTTTATTTATTAATTTTTACATTATAAATCATGTAATGTACTATTTTTCTTACAGCTGTCAATAATACATTTTAAATTAGATAATATTATAAAATATTTTTAATTTGTTATTATTTGTCTAATAAAATAATTATAAAATGTAAACTGATAATTATAATTTCAGTATATAATATTATAATTAGTTAGGTTTTAATAATTTTGGATTCTAGTTAGTTAGGCTGTAATAATTTGGATTTTTTTAGCAGATTAGGGTTTTTCGCCAAAACGAGATTTTAATGGCCATTCTTTCATTGATTAGTCTACTTTTTATATTAGTCCATGTATAATTATATATTTTATCTATGATAATTCTATGATTTTTCTTTTATGTGATGCAAATTTAATGGAAAACATAAGTTTATACAGGAAAAGAGCATCTCAATATTCACAAATTGATGAAAAATGAAAGTTAATAATGTAGTACCTTCATTTCTTATTGGATTCCTAAAAAACAATATTTATAATGAATTTTAATAATTTTTTTGAATTTTTTTGAAGCTTTAATTGGACCGATTCAGCAGATTCTCGATCCGGATCGTCGATTCGCCAATCCGGATCGGTTTTTGAGATGCCCGATCAGGGTCACCGATCCGCTTTTTAAACCATTGCCACACGCAATTGTAAACAAGACCTTCGGTTCATTTGTCATTGATTCAATAAAAAATCTCTTCTAGCTTAAGATCGTGGGAAAGGAGAAACAGGTCAACGGAAGTGATTCCAAACCGGCCATAGGCCAGGGGGGCATTCCAACGTGATCTAAGAGGGCGCCCACGGGAGCCAGTCCGAGCGTGTCACGGACCCACGTGAGGTAAGTCCCGCCTCAGGACCTTAAATTCCTCTCTCACCGGTAGGTAATACCTGCCCTCATTCTCGATGAGGTTCCCAAGAGAGCGATCTTAAAATGTCCCTGGTCTCCTCTGAAACCCGAGACACATGCCGCCTGATCATCCAAATCCGAAGGGCGAGATCAAGGCACTTAACCACAGACTGTTGTCATTTTTTTTTTTTAAAAGCACTATTATCATAAAGTAGCGAGTTAGAATGGCGGCTGGCTTAACAACAGGATAAAATACCTCATTAAAAAGTCACCCAGCACAATGAAGATTATAGCAATCCACATAATGCTCAATGGAGCCATTAGACAAATACTATATCTTTTAGGTCCAGTGACCATCAAAGACATTCATGACTAGCGCAGCCTGGTCAACAATGGGCAAGTGCACTGTTCTTGTTTTGGATATTTAAATCATGTTCTTCCAAAACACTGACCCTAAGTAGATTTAGGATTGGGAATTCTAATTCTACTTGAACTCTATGTTGATCCCCCTTCTAGAAGATCTAATGTATTTCCAAACCACAGGCACAACCTAGTGATTCTAATCCCTCAAAATTGAACTGCCTCACTTTAAAAAGTTCTTTACCCTGTGGAACTCATTTGAGGGGTTTCTTATCTCAGGTGCACTTACTATTTCAGGCATTTTTTTAACACTGAATTTCTTTGGGAAATTCCTAGAAATCTCAGGGGTTTTTTAATACCTCCGGAAGTTGTTTAGGTAGCCTTGAGACCTTAAACCCAAGGTGAAATAAAAGAAACTATAAAAGGGTACACTGAATGAGATTAAAGAGGGCCCGATACAGATCTCTATGTCCAGATCTTCAGAAATGTTGTGATCATCATGCCTCCACCTTGCTCACAAGCATAACCAAAGAACAGTTATGCAAAAGGGTCAATTATTTGTGCCACACAAAATAATGATCATGGCCATGGGAGTACCAAGAAAGGCATATGTTTAAACTGCAACTTCTGTTGCCAGTATTGTGGCCATAGATCACAATTATAACATTGTATTTGCCCAGGCATGCTGAATTTTGGAATTCAAATGGGATACAGACAAGTAATGCTAACTTTGCCACAATTGAGATAGTGTAAGTGAATTAGGAATCCAAAATATGTAGGAGACAATTTCAGAAGGATTTTATGACAATTGATGCTACCATCCCATAAGACTCCAATACTTTGCATCATGACTTTCACAATGAAGTGCAACACTCCCAAGGAACTGTCACTTGAATGTACCAGGATGCAAGGAGAAATAGTAAACCAGAATGAACTCTCCTTAAATTAGAGGACAGCTTATTGAACAAACATAACAAATTTGTTACTATCATCACTTAACTTTTGGGTTCATCGAAAACAAAAAATGTAGATCAGGTCTCAAAGCAAAGAAGATTTCAGGTGAACAAGACAGAAAATGAAAAATTTCACCAAATACACCAATCAAAAAAAGAAAAAAATGGATATTTTTATGGTTGCGCTTGGTTATAAATCAAATAGCAAAGTGGGGGGCTTACAATAAGGGAGATTTCATGCATTCGTGCTCTTGCAGAGGTTGCATACTCAGATACCCTAAACTTGTCCACCAGGATAGACTTGATCTCAGCTGTTCTCATTTTTAATAGTGGATCCGATGCTTCTGTTTCCTTGAGAAAGCAAGGCCAATGAAAGGTTTTCTCATCTCTCCAACCATGCATATCAAATAAGTGCCAAAAGGGGGAGAGAGAGATATACAGACAGATAGAGAGACTTACGAGTATCCTGCGAGAGCCCAAGAGAGTGGCAGTGACCCGGTCGAAATCAGAATTGATACAGCGAAGGAAGTGATCAGATGGGTTCCTTCTGCTGGGGCAGGGGAACCCAGATTCCTTGAAGAACTGCATTCAATTAGTATTAGCATTCAGAATTCTCTTATGTGCCAAAGTGCCTCTCAGGAGAGAGAGAGAAAGAGTCATTAACAGAAGGGTCCAAACCTCGGTGGTGCGGTGTGCATCTCCAAAATAAACAGTTTGCCCACCGGAGAGGAGAAAGAGATCATCAAAGAGAGCAAAGACCTCGCTGCTGGGTTGGTGGAGAGAGGCTAAGACAGTCCTCCCGTCACGCGCCAAACTTCTCAGAGTTTGAGTCACAAAGAATGCTGAAGCACTGCACAATCCATGTTTTAAGGTTATAAATTTGGCTACTCCCATTTTTGCAACTGAAATTATGGGTCTAAGGCATAACGTCCAATTCTTTAGAAAACACCATTGTTTTGACAGAACTCGGGGCTTCTGGGTGCTTTCAATTTGCATGAGTGCTTAATTAACATTCAGAGAGAAAAAACAGCAAATTTGAATCCATGAAAAGGGACAGATGCCCATCTCCCTTCTTATAGAGAGAGAGAGAAAGACAGAGCGACCTATCGAGGCCACTGGTCGGCTCGTCGAGAAAGAGGATTCGAGGTCGAGTGAGGATCTGTTGGGCAATGCTGATTCTCTTCTTCTCACCACCACTAACACCCCTCAGATGCCAATTCCCAATTGGGGTATCAGCACACTCCTGCAAACCCATCGCCATTATAGTCCCCTCGACCACACCTTTCTTCTCTTCCGAGCTCATTCTCTTAGGAAGCCTCAGCTGAGCTGAATACATTATCGTCTCCCTCACTGTTAGAGTCCCCAGCAATATGTCCTCCTGCGTAACATAAGCCTGCCAAAACAACCCAAAATCCACTATATCCATTGATTTTGAGGAATACCCATAAACCAGAGCAGATAAAAAATGACAGTACATGAATTATGGACTCTCTCTCTGCTTACAGCTGCTCCATAGTCCAATTTCTTCTTCCTCCCATTCACAAGAACATTCCCAGACATGATGGTGTTGCCCGCTAATCTCCCTGCACAATCACAATCATGGGTTATTAACAGTAAGCTTAAGAAACAGAGAGATGGATAGCAATAAGCTACAGTTACCTGCGAGCGAGTCCAGGAGGGTGGATTTTCCAGAACCAGAAGGACCCATGATGGCCAAGATGCGCCCCGGCTCTGCATAACCATTGAGCCCATCGAGCAACCGCCGCGTCGGGCCATCTCCATAGTTAGGGAGCACCACTGTCAGCTCCTCCCAAACTACATAAGCCCCTCTCTCATCTCTCTCTCTACTCCCCCATCCTGTTGCTCCATGCTGCGCAGGCCCCTCTATCTCCATGGCCATTTTCTCTCTCTCTCTCTAGACAATTAGAACGCAAATGTGGGCAGAGGCAGGAGTAGATGGAGAGAGAAACTCAGGCGGTTTACATGACCATGTCCATATGGCACATTGTGTGCAGATGGTTCCTCCTCCATGACACCCCCACACCGCCTCTCTCTCTTTCTCTCTCTAAAATGGCATTGAAAGTGAGAGTGAATGAAAAGGGTTCGGCGTTGTACGTCCCTCTCGCATGTCCAGTCAAAGGAACCATCTCATCTACTCACCGCTCTTTCCCCTTAATTGCTCCCTGCCCCACCCACCTTTCTCTCTCTTCCCAGCAACAAAAACAAAAAAAAACACAGTCGCCACCCTCTCCCTCCCTCTCTCTCTCTGTGACTCTGGTGATGATCCTTCAATGTCAGTAGCTGGGGTGTTATTATTTCGATTTGTTTACTGCAACGAGCCTCCCGCCAGATTACCAAAAAAGCAGTTCAGATTTACTCAACTCTCCAAAAGTAAGCTTTACGCATGCGAAATTTATAGAGCCTGCAAAACTTCATCTTCTCATCTTTAAAAAGCAACCCTGTGTGCTTTACCTCCCATAACAAAGGTTTCCATTTTGTTTTTTTGTTCAGTTTTGCTCAGCAGCGTGTGTATCTCTTCTGGGTGTATTTACCCAAGAAAGGAAAATGTTGTGGTTGTGTGTCTTTGTCTTGTATCTTAAGTCGATCAAAAACTAGTGGTTCCTATGTTGTAGAATTTCGTGAAGCACAATCCTAGAACATGTGCCATTCATTATCGAATCTTGTAGAGGGAAAGAGGGGCATTTCTAAGGGTCGCAATTGAGTCGAGACGGGTCGGGTCGATGTTTTGGACCTGGCAGGTTTAGTCTGGGTCTGAAAATTCTCTATTTCGGATTTGTTGGGTTTGGTCTAGGTTAAAAACCCTGGAACCGAATTAGTTTTGGGTCTGGTTTGGATCCAAGTTGACCTGATCCGAACACACACACGCACACACACACACATACACACACACATATATATATATATATATACCTATTTTTTATTAATACACGCCTAAAATTTCAAATGATTTGGATTTGTAGAAAAAAAATTAAAATTCAAACACTACCAGACATCCGTGATCGTCAGATCGGCTCAAATTCAATTTGGAACGTTGGGCTCATATGTTCGTATGAGTTAGTGGGCTAATCTCTTCTTTTCCCTATATCTATATATATGCACAATATTTTTTAAAATACATAATATTTTGGTAAATTTGCGTATACATGTATGATGGGTTGCATAGCATAAGTGTGCAACAGTCGTCAAAAGTGTGGCCAAATCGCTACATTTTGCTCACGAATAGTGCACGTTGAGTGGCTTGTATTGCGCACGGTGCCCAAATACACAAGACTGCGTACGAAGTGCACTTATGTAGTAATTCGTGAGTGTGTATTTGGGGGAATATAGTGCAAATTGTACGGAACATAAGTGTGGGTAACATCGCTCCTTTTTGCGCAAGAATAGTACATGTTTAGTGGCTTGTGTTGCTAGGTGTATATGTATATATATTCGAAGAAAAAGTCTTAAAAATTGTATAGGACATGTCCATTGTACAATTGATTTTTCCAGGCCGTTCAAAAAGATCAGACTGTGCTGAGCCTATGGGCAAAAACACCATTCATTTTTACCTATAAAAATACTGTTCATTTTCGCCCATAAAAACATTGTTCATTTTCGCCCATATTTGAAATATAATTTGAATATTTTTTTACATTGTTGTTATTAAGTTTTTTACCTGAACCCCACTGGAACACAAACAGGGTCGGGTCTGAGTCTGGGTCCAATGCCCTGGACCCAAGTTGGCTCCTAGTCGGGCCAGGTCTAGGTCGACTCAGACCGCCCCAACCCATTCCCACCCCAACCCATTCCCACCCCAAGCCATTTCATATCAACTCATTTATTTGTTACCTCTTATGAGTGAGAAATCTCTGTCTCCTGTGATGCATGTGCCATGCCACGTCTAGGAACATAATGCCGTTGTATTAAATGCTTAGAGGTTAAGGTTGGTCTCAAATAAATGCAAGCAATAGTAGATTATTAAATAAAACAGTGCTGCTTTTATCCTAGCCTTCCATTTTGGTTGGACCATAGCAACCCATAATTTTACTTTGCTCTTCCACTGAGTTTAATTTGCTTTCACTTTTAATCTTATGGAGTCTTGTTATAGAACTGGTTATTAATTTTACTTCATGAAATTAATTTTCCAGTTTAAAATAAAAAATTCATAATAAATTATCTTTGTTTTTTGGTTCAGTGGCACGAATTAAACTTGAGATGTAGTGTTGCTTGATATCAACTGCTAAACAATCAAGCTCAATCGTAATTTCTAAAAGAAAAAATTTAGATAAGGTTACAACCTTAAAATGTATAATTATAGATGCACATCAAAAATCTATTGGAAAGGCTGTTTTAATGTTGAAAACCCTCTAATTGATCATCTCGACATCGAAATGTATGTATATGAAAAAGAAAAAAAATGTTTTTAGTCTCATAAATAGTGTATCTTGCAACACATTATCTAGACCGTCCATTTTTAAGATTTTTATATGTTTATAGACCTACTTGATTTTAACCATTTTTAAAGTTTAAAATTTTCTAATTAAATATGAAAATAGATTTTAAGATAATCCTAAGAATTTTTTACTACAAAATTAGATCTTACAAAAAAATTTGGAGGTGCGCCTTAATTGGATTGTTTAAAGTTGCCACCTTATAGAAACCACACCCATTCCTAAATCATCTAGTACTTGATTATTTATGTTATTAACTAAAATAATTTTTTTTATACTTGCAATTCATTATTTATACTGGTACTCCCAGGACAAATTTACCTAAGAAGCAGAGACATATATATTCATTTTTAAGTCCTTTTTTTTTTAAGGTAAATTCAAAATCACCATTTTAATTCTCCTTCTTGAACAAGAATGTGACTTTGGTTGTGTAGCCGATTAAAATATCTGCAATCCCATACTGTTGTTGGGCAGTTGTGTGGACCCTGGAAGGCTCTTAAAGTGAGTATTTAATGGAGTAAGGATGGGCAATGTTTAGTGGGTAATGACCACTCCATGTGCCATAACTCCATTTAAAGTTAAACGATCTCTTTCCTAATTTTGGAACAGATAAGCAAAGATGGAGAAATAAAAAGTTGAAAAACAAAGTGGAAACATGAATGTTAAGAAATGAGAAGGCAATGGACCAAGGAGTCAGGCTCAGACTTGGACTTGGACTTGGGCTTGGGCTTGGGCTTGGGTTTGAGTAGTTAGCAGCTAATATTTAACAGTACTAGATTTCAACTTCGCTTTCTATCACTGAACTACCCAAAAAAATAAAATAAAATAAAAATAAAAAGTTAATGGACCAAAAAAAATTGGTACAAAAAATAAAGAGAAGCAATAGATATAAAAGTGTTGGGTACTCACCCAGCCATGGTTGTAGGAGGTTATAGTGCTTTTTTTGTGTCAAATAAGTATATGGAAATTTGCATTGTTTTGCAATGTATGGTAACATAGCATGCATTGGATGTGCTGGTATGCTAACATTGTGACCTTATATTGTGCCACACATTATTATCGGATGGTGCACAATATAACAGTTTCATGCAACTAAAAACAATATTTCAAAAAAAAAATAAAAAAGATTACAGGATCGAGTGGGTACATGCTCCTAGGGTAAAAATCTTAACTATGAGTAATTTTTGGATCTCAAATTTGGGGATGTAACCTCCACAATCTAAGGCCAATAAAGTATAAATTCAAATTGTAGGCACATTTTTTTTTGTGAATGGTAACTGTAACTCTTCATTAAATCTCAAAAATTTATAGAAACCATAATTACATCTCAAATGAAACATGATCTATGTAAACTATCAAAATAGAGTGCAAAATCCTCCATTGGCTAGTGTAGATGTGTCCACATTAGCCCCTCAATAACAATGGTTAAGAAGGATTCTGTGTTGTCAGTAGGATATTTTAGATCCTTTGAGGGGTAATGTAGGAGTTAATTGTGCAATAAATAAATAAGAAATTCAAGAAGTTAACCAATAGATTCTTAATAGTAAGGATGGCAGGATCAAGATTCAATCTGGTGTGATAGTAAGCAATAGTTCAAGGAGAATAGATCTATAGAGGCTATGTCTAGTGGCCATGGAGGAAGGATCTCTATTTGTGGTGCAGGGTTGATGACATGTCAACACCTTGGAGCAACAACATCATTGAATAAGGCCTTAAGGGGCCAGTGGAATGGTGCCATTCTGCCAAGTCAAATGGTAGTAAAGGATCAAAAATTAAGTAGATTTAGTACCCCATTCAAAAGATAAATTCAAAATTATAAAAAGGGACTCTGCAACTTCTAATTTCAATATATCAGTTCTTAAAAAGAATATGCAATCTTTAACAAATTTAAAGTAGTTGTGATTTTGTTAATGAAGATTGTGTGCTAGCCAGTATGGAGGATGTAATTTCAGAGTTTTTAGTTGTTGTGGGTGGTCTTCCAAATCAATAGAATATCGTAATACTAGATTACGGAGCACGAATTTGCAAAGTACAGAGACTGAGCATGCCCCACTAAGTAGATTGCATCGTGAAAGAGATGTTTGTTACCTAAAGCTTTTTGAAAGCTGCATGCAAGGTGGAATTATCTGTTTGCTATTTTCATCTGGTCAAGAGGTTAGGTTTTCATTCATACGCAGTTCACTTTGTGGCTTTTGACTTTTCTTTGTTGTCTTTGCCTGCTCAAGATTTGTGTCCCAGTCTTGTCTATAAGTGGTTCTATGAGTTCATGATAAGAAAAATAGAGAAACAGTTACCTTTTCACAAGGTAGCTAAGAATAAGGAATGCCCATTATTGTCCTTGAGTTTGATGATTACGATATGGGGTTCACACCAATATTGTTGTGATTATGGAAGTTTAGGCTGACAATCTCTTGAAAGTTGGACAAAGAGAGGAATGAGAGAGAGAGAGCTTCTAGATGAGAGAGAGATGAAACCCTATGTGGTGGCATGCCACCCTAGGAGAGAGAGTAGAGAGATGAGAGATAAGTAGAGATTTGGGATGAGAGAGCCCTATTTATATATTTTTCAGTGGTCAGGATTTCCTTAAGGTTAGCCATCCTTAGTGCAACTAGTTCCAAACCATTATTTATGAGATTTGGGATGAAAGAACCCTATTTATATAGTTTTCCGTGGTTAGGGTTTTCTAAGGGTTAGTCATCCTTAGTGAGATTAGGTCCAGACCATTGATTATAGTTTCTTGAGTTGGATGATTAGGATACGGGGTTCACACCAACATTGTTGTGATTTTAGAAGTTTAGACCATAGTTACTAGGAGTGCCCAACTAGGGTGCCGCTCTCATTCTGGAACCTAGCTCCAGCATTCCATGATCAGGATCTTGATCAAAATGCATTTTAAATTTTTTGGAGATGACTCCTATTTACAGGATTCTCGATCCCATGCACAAAGGATCTTGATCCCACTATCGTACGGAACACATTCCTTAAAATTGTAGTTCTCGTTCCTAAATAAATTAGATGCATGCTCCCAAAATTTTAAGAGGACGATCCCTACATTCTCAAAACTTCCTCAAAGAATTTTTTAAAATAAAATTAACTT